AGACATTTTTAGTCCGAAGTCTGAAAAACAAATGTAATTGCCGCACATAGTGTACCTGCAGCGCTTCAACAAAAACTTAGAGCTGCTTCCTGCTGGATGAAGGAATAATTTGCTTACTGTTCCTTAGTTTTTTTTCCTGCTGCTGTGTGTTGTAAATTATCGTCAATGTCATATTTTTTTACTCTGTTTGCTGATTTTTAAAAAAGGCTGACCTACTAAAAGGGTCACACAGAATGTGTACACAACTGTTATTTAGAAAATTAGATCAGTGCACACAGGTGCGGTTGCGCTACATTTTCATTTTAGTGTCAAGCCCCCCTCGAATGACGCATCATTGCAGAAATCCGATCACAAGATCAGCTCAGACCTGCCTCATGTTCGCTGCATCTCCACACTGCAGTGCCCAGCGGTTAGAGAAGGTGTTTCTGCATCACGTAGGTGTCATTTCTCACTCAGAAAACGAATAAAATATTCCCCTACCCCTTCCTTCCTTCCAATCAAACTTTAATCGAGCGAATGTGTCCGTTAATAGAGCGATTATCACAGCAGGTAGCGTGAATCATCATTTTTTAACGAAGCGGTGACATTAAACAAGTCACTGCTGCTCTTTAATGTTTTCAACATCAAAGTGCGCTGTTCCACCGAGCTCGTCTTTTGCACTGTTGAACCATGCTTGTAGAAGCTGTGGTTTGCTTTGCTGCTCTTCACCGCAGGCCCGTGCTGTTGTCGGTAGACTTTTAGAAATGACTGTGACTTCCTGCGCTGACCCCAACCCATTACCTGCTACTTACACAGTCTGTGCATTCACGTCTGTTTGCATTTTTTTTTTTTTTCTTCTTCTTTGCGTCAGTCTTTGTCATCATTTCATTTCTGAGGATGAGAAGATGAAGATGTTCTCCTTCTGAGTTTCTTTGCCTTCGCTTTTAAAAACAGAAGTCGCACTAACACATTTCTCTACATGCAGACTCACACTGCTACTTGTCACAGCCAACTTTGTGTGTTTTTTTTTTTTCTGTGCGTACAGGTGCAGGGAATGTCGTTCATCGCAGCAGTGCTGATCCTCAACCTGGACACAGCTGATGCCTTCATAGCTTTCGCCAATCTGCTCAACAAGCCCTGTCAGATGGCCTTCTTCAGAGTCGACCACAGCCTTGTCAGTACACACAAACACTCAGATCACCACCACTATGTCACAGAAATGTACGACACCCACCCACTTCACATGCGAGGCCTATTAATAGCTTCATCTGACGCCAGCTCACTCACGCTGTGTTTATATTATTTTATTGACTGAGCGTAAAAGTTTCTTTTTAACCTTGGGTGCTGCATGTTTAGGCATGTTGTACACGCTAGATTCAAATCGGGTGAAAGAAAGATTAGAAAGGATTCACACAGTCAAGGTTTCAACCACACGATTGATAACATCTTCTCACGACAGTCAAGCGATCAAACAAAGAATTAAAAAAAAATTGCAACCACAAAGTTACAGTGCTTCCCATAAATATCAGAATAGGACCAAAAAAAGTTCAAGGAGTTCTATTTTCTAAAGCATGATGAGATAAAGCACCATTTATAAACCATGTAGCAATATATTCACACAATCTCCTGCTCAGTCAGTAGACTTTTGACTATTTTAAACACTGTCTTCATTATTTTTTAATCTGAAAATGTACTTTTTTCTCAGTTAATCATGAGTTTGGTTTATCACATTCAAGCTGAAGAAACAATCACACTCAAAATGACCCATATTGTTGTTTTAAAAGTATTTTCTTTCCTTATAAATGAGCAGAACTGTTTCCATTTCAATTATGTCAAACAACAACTTGATAAATGCACCAATCATTGCTGCTCTCATTTTAGTGTAATTGTTCTAAATGCTCATAAAAGTGCTGAAATACTGTGACTGAAATATTTTAGCTTTTAATGTTAAACCTCAGTATATTCTACATTTATTTCTACAAAAGATTGACTCCAACAGATTAGTGTGGTTCGTGTTTGTCTAAAACCTTCTCCTCTCTTTACAGATGTTGACTTACTTTGCGGCATTTGAAGTGTTCTTTGAAGAAAACCTACCAAAGCTCTTTGCACATTTCAAGAAAAACAACTTGACTCCTGATATTTATTTAATCGACTGGTGAGTCTGTTTTTTGAGTCGTTTCCTCACATTTGTTGCACATGTGCCTTTTTTTTTTTTTAACAAGTTGAACTCATGTACTTAAAACTAGAATAAAAACCCCCGAACATTTACCTTCCATTTTGTTGCCATTATGTCATGTTCAAAGCTGGAACAGTGACTATATATATATAACATGTTCTCTACCCACATGCAGAGTGCACTTTATACACCGTTGGACTGAAAATGTGTGACTTGCCTTCATCGAATAAACACCATAACAACTTTGTCACAGTTTCAGTATCAGGTGTGTTTCTGAGAACACAGGATGGGGGTCTGTGGCACTCTCACTTATGTCACTCACACGACCCTGAGCTTATTAAGGAAGTGGAATGAGTGCAATATTTCAGTAGTAAGCCTTTATTGACATTTGCATTCTATTACTGTGAGTCGAGGTTCTTTTGAATTAACGGAAACTACCACACGGGCTGCAAGGTGGAGCGGTAGTTAACACTGTTGCCTCGCAGCAAGAAGGTCGCCGGTTCACGTCCCGGTGAGGACACCCGAGATCTTTCTGCGTGGAGTTTGCATGTTCTCCCCGCGAGGATTAAGCGGTGTATAGATAATGGATGGGTGAAACTACCAAACAATAACCAGGTCACACTCCCTCTAAGAACAATGTGAAATACCTCAAATGCAGCTAGAGATGACAGTTCAACCTTCCAGTTTACTGACGAGCACTAGTATGGGATATTATTGTAGCAAAACTATTTGTCAGTGCGTATGGAGAGTGGTCTGTGTGTATCTCATTCTGTGTGTGTGAAGTGAGCAGCAGAGCAGCAGAGCAGCATGCAGCCACGATGAACAATCCTGTGGCTCAGCACAGAAACCCTCAATTTCAGATACTCTTCAGTTTCCGATTCTCTCACGACAGAAGTGTAGCAAAAGTCATGTGTGAAAAGACAGCCACTGGTGAAGCCGCTCGACTCGTAACTGGTGATTTGTCTGTGTTTTCAGCACTTGTATTCGAACACGTAGACTTTGACCTTTGTACACATTGACAACTCTTACTACATGTCCGAATTTTAATACAGACGAGCAGATTTTTTACAAATTTGAAAGCCTGATTACAGACAGACAAATTGTGAGACGACTTTTGTAAATCTCGCTTCAGACACACAGATTGAGATTCAGACAGACAACTCTCCATACACATGGACAAATAGTTTTGCTACAACAATGCCCCCATGCTAGTCATCCATCCATCATCTATACACCTCTTAGTCCTCACTAGGGTCATGGGGGCTGGAGCCGATCCCAGCTGACTTAGGGTGAAGGCAGGGGACACCCTGGACAGGTCACCAGTCTATCACAGGGCTACACTTAGAGACAGACAACCATGCAGGTGCTAACCACTGAGCCCCCTTGCAGCCCCTATACTAGTTGGTCAAAAGAGAACATTTGATGCTAATCAACAAGCAAATTTTCTGTGACTTTTGAAATCTGTTAAGATGAGCTGCCTCTACTGTGCAGAAGCCTGAAAATGATTTATACAAGTCACAGCTAGTGGTCTGTTTTTAATCTGTTTGATTCAAAACTGCTGTTTTTCCAGCAAAAAACCATCCTGTACACAACCTTCTTGGCACCAAACAGCAGCCCAGTACAGTTAGACAAAAGCAGGTGGACAAAGCTAAAGAGCCAAAGTTTCCCTTAGTAGATCCATATTTAGATTCATCAGGTGGACACCAGTTAACGATGATGTTTTACTATTCTATGTTTGCTAATAAATCTGCCAATCAGCCTAAATGTGTCTGTGTTGTGTTCACAACTTATGTCCACTGCCACCAAATTTCCAAAATTGTTATTACAGGTTAAAAGGCTCGACGATGATTACAGATCAAAAGAGTGCACACAATGAAGAGCAGTACAAAGGAACTTAAGCTGCTAACTTCTGCCAGAAAGCGTCATTTAGTGCAGATGAAGTGGTCAGGTGGCCTTTAAAGTTCTGCAAAGTTACTCTGCTTTTGGTGGAAGTTTAGTGCATTCAAATGAAGTATAGTTTGTCAAAGTAGAGTGAGAGTTTAGCCACATGCCTCCCTCAGTATGCTAACAAAAACCAGTTTAAAGTTGCAGAACATTAGTTTTTTGGCCTCAATTTGTTTACACTTTGATTTCACGATTGTCTGCAAAAACCTATAACCACGTTCCTTCCTCTCCTGCAGGATCTTCACCCTGTACAGTAAGTCGCTGCCGTTGGACCTGGCGTGTCGGGTGTGGGACGTGTTCTGCCGAGACGGTGAGGAGTTCCTGTTCCGCACGGGGCTGGGCCTGCTGCGCCTCTACCAGGACGTCCTCACCTGCATGGACTTCATCCACATGGCCCAGTTCCTCACCCGCCTGCCCGACCTCATCCCCGCCGAGCAGCTCTTCCAGCACATCGCCGCCGTTCACATGACCAGCCGCAACAGAAAGTGGGCGCAGGTGGGATGGGTTTTTTTTTTTCTGTCTTCTCTAATTGGACGAATACTTTCTATTTTCATCGGTGCACAACCCAGAAGTCTAGTATGCAAACACAGGTGGATCTGTTCTGCTGACGTTACTGCTCTTGTAACCCAGAGGCTACATCCACGCACCACAGACAGGAGAAACAAAAGTGCCTTAAACCTGCATTCTTTGTAACGACCAGTAGGGGGCAACTCTTCTGGTTGCAAAAAGAAGTCACATTGTATAGAAGTCCATCCATCCATTATCTATACACCGCTTAATCCTCACTAGGGTCAGGGGGGGGGCTGGAGCCTATCCCAGCTGACTTAGGGTGAAGGCAGGGGACACCCTGGACAGGTCACCAGTCTATCACAGGGCTACACTTAGAGACAGACAACCAAGCACACTCACATTCACACCTACGGACAATTTAGAATCACCAATTAAACCTCAACATGTCTTTGGACTGTGTGGAAAAAAAATGACCCGACTTCTCTTTTGATTTGCTGCCTTCGTAAACATTTTCAGAATCAGTTTATGGTCTCAGTTGCTAATTTCAAGGTTTTGTGAGCACATTATGGTGCTTGTTTTTGTAAATTGTGGTCCCATTCTGAGAAAAAAAGACAATGGAATTGAGTTTTTGGGGCTACTTTGTGATTGACAGCGTATCTCAGTCAAGTTCACAGTTTGCTTTTTACATCCTGTTAGTGCCACACGCTAGTTCGCGCAAACCGACAGATGACATCACATTGGCTGCATCCACCTTTTATATGCATCTATGGTGTCGATCACCTTTCTGTTTTTTGACTGCTACCTCCGTCCGTCTCTTCAGGTCCTGCAGGCGTTGACAGAACAGAAGCGATCAGGAGCGAGGCAGCCCGGCGCTGAATCGCTGAGCTGAGATGTGCAGAAAAACCCCACCACACACTAACAGACTCGACCCTCCAGCCTTCAGGAAAACCCGCACTTCTTCTTCCAGGCCAGGTGGACACGGAGAGCGACCTTCCATCAGCTCGGGGGACAAAATCTAGTCGCAGCCACTGCGATGAAGCTCTTCTCCAGAGCCGAGTCGCTGCTCTGACTGGAAACCAGAACCCTGGAGGGAAGAGGGGGAGGGGGTGAAAAAGGAATACGAGGCCTTATTTAACTCCTAATTTAACACCCCCACCTCTACTCAGAGGCCCAGCAGTGAACTGGAAACTGTAGCTGGGAAAGGCTGAAGAATGTAAGACACACTCCCACGTACATGCATCTACCAGGCTGACTCAGATCTCCACGGACGCGAGGAAACCACCGAGATACTCCATCGAATCCTCCACGTTTGAATCTCTGCTGTCAGTCCCACTTCTTTCGATTGGCAAATTTATCTTTAGATTTCTTAGGGTACATCTTTAAAAAAAACAAAAAAAAGTCAGGGAACCTCCAGCGGTAAAATACGTCAAGTGGAACATTCGCTTCCGTCTCTGTGTGTCTCGAACCTTTTTTTGTATCTGCACCTTTTTTTTTTTTCCCCCCGCTCAAAACTTTAATCATTCCTTTGAGTTGGATTCATTTTCTTCTCATTTTTTTTCCTAATTTGTGCACGTTTGTTTCCTAAACCATTCCGTGAAGTCAACTCGTCTGAAGAGAGAAGAGTTTTGAATCCATGAAGATGCGACACGAAATGCACATGAAGACGCGTCCGGTGCCTCCGAGAGCGCCGCGTTGCGTTCAAAGCCTCGAACAAGAGGTCGTAAGCTGCCTGTAGAATGAGTTTTACAGCATATTTATGTCGATGAAACTGGAACAAATACTGCAGTGAAGAAGCATCAGGTGTTCCTCTGGTATGTTTGAGGTACGTTTCAGCTCGTTTCGATTCCCAAAGTCTTGGTGTGAGCGTGGAATCTGTTCTTTATTTAACATTTATCAAAGGAGCTTAACTTGCTCCTATCAAATGAAGGGTTATAGCTGAGCCTCCCCCCCCAACAAATTGACCAATCGAAAGCTGCACAATCACCTGCGTTGTCTGTGAATTGCGTTGTGCGTCTGTCCTTTCAAATCAGCAGTCTTGCTCAGTTTAGTTTATCGCTTTTCCACCCGAAGTGAAACTTGTGTGTCACAATCATTCACCTGCGGATCGCATATTCTCCACATGTTCACACTGTGGTGAACGTGTCACTCCGCCCTGACCAGCAGTGGGCGGGGACGGTATTGACAACCGCTGCAAGAGTGAAGTTACATTCCAAAGCTTTGTTTTGGCTGCAAGTGTTTCTTGATAATCAGATTTTTTTAAAAAAGCTGTTATTCATTATTTTTTGTTTGTTCTTGTTTTGTTTGAAGGCCCATTTTGCACAAACTCGTTCACTAAATGAACTCGAAAGTGCTGAAATCTCGCTGGCGGCTGAGTTCATCTGTCGGTGGAATTGTCCCGTTGTTGCTTGTGAAGCTGCTTCATCTGATGTGTTGTGCTGCTGATTTTGTGTGCGATAAAGGTCCTTTTCGTGAACTGTTATATCGGTGGCGTCTCTGTTTGGCGTCTTGCTGAGGGGAGACTTTCTTAGAAAAAAAAAAAAAACATGTCGGAACCCATCTCTGAAGGTTTAAAAACGGTTCATTTGTAACTCATCATCTGTGTTTGCTTCACGTCGGCACGGTGCAGCAGACTTTCTGATCTTCTTACTGCACCCCCTCCTCCCCCTCCTCCTCCTCTGTGGTAACACCACAGGACTGCAATAAAGCTTTTTGCACATACATGTAAGCCTTTCAGTTGAGTCGTGCCTCGTATCATCACTTTACATCATCGCTCATGGTTTAAACGGGTCGTCACTGTTTCCATCTTCTTCTTTTTTTTTTTTCCTTTTTGTGCTTAAGTAGCTGACACTGCAACCTGAGGTGTGTGTCTTTTTTATGTGTGGCATTTCCGCTATGACATCTGTCAGTTACTAATGAGTTGTTACATTAAAGGCTGCATTCTAATTGGCCCTTTCAACTTTGCTAACACTACCTGCTTAGTCCTTGATCCACAGTGGGTTAAAAACAAAATTCAAACTAAATTCATGTAATGCACCATTGCTTTATAATCAGGTTGTTTGCTGGATTTCTTAAATTTTGTTTGTTTTGCATTGTCTGACTTTTATGTTTTTTGTTTTCCCTTAAGAGACCCGTGTACTGTAGAGGACTGATAGACAAACATGGAGACAGCAGAGGGTCACCATGCAACGGTATCTCACTTGAAATGTATATAAATAATGGTTTTATTATAATAAAATACTGTACATATTCAACCAAGTGCTGGTTTGTGGATTTTTATGACAGATGTTAATATAAAAAAAGAAAAACATAACTTGCCCTGTAGACTTGTGGAAGTTGAATTTAAAGAAGTCCTGGGAGCAAATAGGGAGTCGTTGAAGGTTACTACAGGAGCTGTGTTTATAAAAAATAAAAATTCAAAAAGCCTTGTGATGTAAGTGGGGTTATTTTTGATCAAGTTGTGTTAAAGTTTACGCTGTAGCACCACTGGCACTCACCATCATTTGGGGTATATTTAAGTTCCGAGGCTAGCTGCTTCCAGCTAACGTGAACATCGATCATTCTTCAGAATTCAAGGTTCTGCTGGGAAACCTCCTGCATTCAGTACCTCGGACTCACATCCTACTACGTAAACATTGCCGCAGACCGTGCACGCTCCTTCGTGGCAACAGCGCTCCCCGACATCAGTGACCTCTCTAAACTGGACAATGCACCCTGAAAAAACATCTCAGGAACATGACAAGCAGTCCCAAGACCTTCAAAACTCCTCATTTTTATTCTGATTGAGCATCCATGGGGTGCACCAGAACAAATCTGAATCCAAGGAGGTCACAAACCCCTTAACCCACAGACCTAGTGTCCTGGTACCAGACGCTCCAGGTCAGTCCCAGGTCCTGCTGAAATATTCAGCAGATGGTTCTACTGTTGTCTGATTGTTGTTGGATCCAGTGATTTTATCGTTGTTTTAGGCATAAAGCATTTTGTCGACATGGTTTGGGTCCACCTGTCCCCTTAAAGTAAAGTGGTTCTGAGTTGTTGTCATGATCCGATGTGGAAACGTCTGCCCTGATGCAGAACCATCTCCTCCAGGATGACAATGCCTCCATCCTTAGGTCATGAGACGTCACTGAATGGTTTGCTGATTTCAGCTTGAGCTGGGAGATTTTGGACTCTCCACCACCGTAATCAAAACACCCAGTGTGTGAATATCATTTGGAAGAGTGGTGCTCCATCTCTCCAGTAGAGTTCTAGACACTTGGAGAACCATCGCTAAGGTTCATTGAAGCCTTTTTGGCGTCATGTGGTGGCCCATGACCTCATTTTTACCATGATGTCAGGCAGGTAGATAAAATGATAAAATAGCTGTTAACTGTTGCTGCATCTTTTCAGTCTTTTATTTTCAGAGTTTTTTGGAGCTGCAGAAATTGCTTTGCTGCATATCACCGTCCTGCTTTGAGCTACATGTCTGGGTGAACCACAGCTGCATTTCCTTTGCAATTCACCACTCCATCCATCCATCCATCATCTATACACCACTTAATCCTCTCTAGGGTTGTGGGGAGGCTGGAGTCTATCCCAGTTGACTCAGGGTGAAGGCAGGGGACACCCTGGACAGGTCACCAGTCTATCACAGGACTACACTTATAGACAGACAACCAAGCACACTCACATTCTACGGACAATTTAGAATCACCAATTAACCTCAACATGTTTTTGGACCTTGTGGGTCCTCACCGGGAGAACCCGGGGTGAACCCACGCTGCACGGGGAGAACATGCAAACTCCACGCACAAAGATCCTGGGTGTCCACACTGGGACGAGAACTGGCGACCTACTTGCTGTGAGGCAACAGTGCTAACCAAGTCTCCACCTTGCAGCCCTCCACTCAATCTAACCGAGTACAAACTTTCTGTGACAGGCAGCTTCAATCCCCTTAAAACCACAAGAGCCCTCCCTCTTTGACACCATTTTTTTTTTTCTTTTGATCTTGATAAATGTAACGCTGCACCACATTCTGTTCAGACGTCCTTCACCGTGGTTCTAAGAGCATCTTCGTCCAGCCGTTTGAAGGAATATCGAGGCATCATGAGGACCACTTACATCCTTCTGCTCTGCGTCCTGGGAGCTGCAATGCTGTCTACAGTTATCTGCCAGAGTAAGATGACTTTAGATCATTATGTCATTTAGACAGAAGTGTTTCTTCTCACAGCAGCCTGATGGTACATCTCTCAATGCTCTGTTCTTCAGATTCACTTGGTCCAGACAACTGCTGCTTTGATTACTACCCGAGAAGACTGAACAAAAACCTCATTGGCTCATATGAGATGACTGATCACCGGTGTGCCAAGCCTGGAGTCATGTAAGTGTAACTATAAAATTTAAAGTATGAAATTGGTTGTTGTTATTTTGTGTCTCATTTTCACTCCAGTTATCAGTAAAGCGTTTCCTCGTGTATGTTTTTGCTCCGTAGCTGTTCTTATTTTGGATAAAAAGTCAAAGAAGAGTGTCGATAGTGATA